CTTAGGAGGGAGGTGAGGTGTACATTAAATAAATGAATGGATAATAAATATGCTTATGCTGGAGACCCTAACCTGATTAAGTTAATTGACACAAAGTTTTCTGCAGTGCCATCCCAAATTTTCTTGTTTGATCATCATGCTACTTTCACATCAGAAAGAAATCTGTTGAGGAAAAGAAGAAAAGATGGAAGAGAGACTGGCGAAACGTCAGGAAGAACAACCTTCAGAACACAGCCAAAGAGCCCGAAAAACCCAGAACAACCATCAGCTTCCCTGAAGTTCCCCACTTTTCGCGACAGGAGACAGCTGTGTGGAAGCCTCCTTTGGGACATTCTTTTGTGTCTGCTCTGTTACCAAGTAACACACCAAGAATTACGCCTCACTTGGGGGTAGCAGACATGTCATGAATAAGCAGCACCACAGGATCTTTATTTATCAGTTAATTAAATTGGGTGTGTACATATGTGCATATATAAAGACACCTAGTTTCAAAATGTAGCAGAACAGTTTTATTGATTTCTTCACTAAATCAAAGAAAAGACCTAAATGAGAGAAGGTGAAGACTACTGTACTTATGGAAAAAAAATGATTAAGACTAGAGCACCCTTCAAGAGGATGCTGGGTGGAAATGTTGCTCACTTCACCTGGAGATTTAATATTCTACCCAATTAGTTCCTCCTCTTTATCTTAATATACGGACAGCTTCAAAGCTAAGACGGTCATATAGGAGCGCTCACTGCACTGCGCTACAATCTGCTCAGATGAGCGGATGATTTCTCAAGGTACCCCCCCCCGACCAACATTACTGTGGCTGCCCCTTTAGAACTTGATACACCATCCCATACCTTCTTTTACTGTCAAAAAATGCAATAGAAAGAGAGAAATTCTTGCAAAAATGGCTATTGAAATAAATATTCAGCTTTCTTGGATACCTTAAGACTACCTTAATTACTCTTGAGCAGTCTTTGCAAAAATTGTGTTGTAGATGTGGCAGCTTTTTGTTTTAATGTATTTTCAAACTCTAAAAGTTGACACAGTGTATGATGGGTTACTAAACCTAAATAAACTTGAAACTTGAATTCTTCTCTGTGATTGCAGAGTTTTCCTTAGTAGCTACATACTTGTGGATTTATTTCTTGAAAGACAAAACCAAACACTGATGTGCAACTCGGTTTTCAAAATACTCTGCTGAGACTGACGGGGATTTTACTGCCCCTGATTCAAAGGGAGAAAAGCCTTTTCAGTTTAATTAATTTGTTTTTCCTGGCTCTGTTTCAGGTGCAGTAAAGTGTTTATTTTTAGACATTAAAACACAAACACACACGAAAGAACCACACCCCTTTTAAAATGGTAGGAGCCACCCAGTGGAGTAGTGCAGCATGAGGACACAAAAGTGAAACCAATTTCAGGAAAACTCCATTTTGCTGGCTGAGCTAGTTTTTCTCCTAAAACATCAAAAGGAAAGCAATCCAAAAAGCACATAATGCAACTCAAAAAGGAAAACAATGTGTCAAATCAAGTGGAGGAAGCAGATTTTGGTAACGTACAACCATGGTAGTAATGTAATTGGAAGTTTTTAAAGATACAGATATGGATTTAATCCTAATGAGTTTTTAAGCACATTGAGGGCAACAAAGTGGGGGAAAAGATTTGATTATCTTTTCTTTCCACTCCTCTCCAGAGGCTATCAACAGAGGCTGTTGAAACTGTTCATACTGCATAGGGTTGCTGATTTTCATTTGAGAAGGCACCTGCACCTTGCTTATGCTACAGTGGTGCCTCGCATAACGAGTGCACCGTTTAATGACAAATCCACATAGCGATCTATTTATGGGATTGCTAATGCGATCGCATTGCGATGTTTTAATAGCCTAAACATCGCATTGCAATGATCGGTAAGCGTTTCGATTACCGATCTTCACATTGCAATATTTGTGGAACAGCTGATCGGCGGTTCCAAAATGGCCACCGGGTGCCCAAAATGGCCACCGCAACCATTTTTGCATAATTTCCTCGCTTACTGAGGCGGCAAAAATGGCAGCGCTATGGAGGATATTCGCATAACTGTGAGTTTTCGCCCCATAGGAACACATTAAATGAAGTTTAATGTGTTTCTATGGGGTTCCCCCCCCTGCATTGCAATGTTTCCGGATAGCGATGATTAATCCGGAATGGATTAACGTCGCTATGCGGGGCACCACTGTATGTGCCGTTATATTAGAACAACTTCTAGCAATCCAAATAGGGTTTCCAAGGTAAGGGGGATATTTAACGAGTGATTGAGTTCCATACCTCAAGTGAGCTTCCATGGCTGTGGGAAATTTGAACCCAAATCACACTACACTCTATGCATCACACTACACTGGGTATCATCAGGTGTTGTTAGACTAGTAGAAAAGAAATTAATAAGCCAAAAGGATAAAAGTACGGGGGAGGGGGAGAGAATTATTATGTAATCCACTCTTGCCACAGACACAGTGACATTGCTGGAACCAAAAGTGGAAACCAAACATTTTTCTGGTTTGGCAATCCTGGTTGGGACTCTCAAGCCTCATGGTTTGGTAATTCTAATTCGGAGTGCCTTTAAATAAACAAGAAAGTGGGTCTGTAGGATCTATTGCAAGAAAAAGGACAGAAAGAGGTTTGCTATGTGTGACTCACTCCCTCTAATCAAGGTTGGGCAGCTCCAAAAGCAACACAAAACCACACCCAGACCCTTAAAGGCCTCGACTACCTTATTAAGAAAACATTGGTTGGTTGGTTGGTTGGTTGGTTGGTTGGTTGGTTGGTTGGTTTAAACCCCATCTTTCTCCTTAAAAAGGACCCAAAGCAGCTTATATTAGCCATCTGTCCGGGATGGTATGAGGTCTCCTGCCTTGGGCAGGGGGTTGGACTAGAAGACCTCTAAGGTCCCTTCCAACCCTATGATAGTTCTATGATGATGAAGATAATAGTAAAGCTAACAGCAGTGAGTATACAAATACTAAAAGGGATCAAACAAATACCATAGTACTAAAAAGCGGTAAAAAAAGCAACACAAAAACACATTCAAATCAGTAAAGTTCTTACTTAATATACATTTTAAAAACCCCACTCAGGCAAGCAGTCACTCAGGGAAAGCGTGCCTGAAGAGAAAGGTCTTTGCTGCTTGTGGGAGGAAGGTAATGTAAAAGTAAATACTGTATCAGTTTGAAAGTCTGGGAGCAGCCACAGCGAATCACCCCCCACACACACACACACACATGCTCTCTAGTGATTTGAGGGCTGTGCTTTGGCACCAGAAGGCTGTATCTGGCCCACAAGCCCATCTCTGCTCTAAGAGAACACTGACCTCTGCAAGCTTCCAAGCATTCACTGTTGCCTTTTTGTTAGGAGAAGCTGGACACATAAGCATGGAAAAGTAATCATTGGTTTCCCCTATGCTGAGAAATAACCTTTTGCTGGTTGATTTCTGCACTCAGAAAGGTGTAGGCACCAGAGCACAAGAGCAGGCGATGCTGATGTGGTTCCAACCTACCGATGAAGTAGCTATATAATTTAGAGAGCTGAAGGGTATAAAACTGTAATAGGAAAATGACTGGCAGTTTCCAGACTTCTTGTCTAGATTCATGTATAAGCCAAATAAACTACAAACTCCAATTTTGAGGGGGAACTCTAAATAGCGGGAGGGGGGAGGAAGGGTTATAGAGTGTTTTTTCCTTGAATATCTTATACCAAAATCCTGTTTGTTGTTTTACACATGCACAGTGGTTCACTGTGTGTCCTGGTGGCTTTTTCACAAGAGAGTATATTCACTATTTGTGCTCATGCATGTTCCTTTGTTTTCAGTAGGATGATCTCTAGTTTATGTAACTGCGAGGCAATTACCTAGATCAGCTTGCTTCGTACTCTGCAATGCATCAATTTTTTATTTTGTATTTTTTTGGTCTTGGTTTCACAGACATCTTGGTGCACAGACATCTACCAATAAGAAACTAGACAGGAGAGGGAGAGAATATAGATGATTTCACTAGGTGTTCCTTTTATCCACAGTTGTTTGTAAGGTTGCTTCTGAATCTAGCAGAAAGTTAAAAGGTCAGCCTTTTGCTAGTTGTGCCAGGATGGGCTCTATATACCTACATAATAGGTGCCTACTGCCAAAAGGGAGTGAGGGTCAGACCGGAACTTGGGAAAAATTACTTTTTGGACTACAACCCTCAGAATCCAAGTGGTCATGCTTGTTGAGGAATTCTGGGAACTGCAGTCCAAAATGTACCTTTCCCATAGTCTGGGTCATACAGATGAGACAATGTCAGCAAATTGTCTCATTAAAAATTATCTTCTATAGAACTGCCATTGTTGTATGCCTAGTCTGGAAATGTTCAGTATTTGGTAATTTGAGAGCAAACATTAGAATCATCCAGTAGAATCATCCAGGCTCTCACTTCTGGCTTTATTCCTAATAATGGGCAACTGATTTACAATAAAAATTATTCTTATGCCTTAGATGTGATTACTAACCTCCTTGTGTGTTTTTTCTCACCATGGTAAATGCTAAATAGTCTGTAGACTAAATAAATTCAAGTTTGTCCGTGTAATCAATTTGTCCAGAGCAGATTAGAACAGTCTTCAAATGACTCAGAGCTGGGATATTAGGAGAAGAAAATGAAGAAAGTTACTGGCAGACTGGAGGAGTAAGAGTGTTTCTGTAACAGAAACATAGTTAAAACATCATAAACAGCTTTAGGTACAGATAATATGGTATCTAGTGCAGTATAGGCTCAGTTTTCTTCAGTGTTGGGGTTGGGGAGAAGAGTGGAAGAGAGGAACCCAAAAATGAAGAATTTCCTCATTTTGTAAAACTGAAACTAACAAATGAAAACTGATTGATATAAGGAAACTCTCCTGTAGCTCGCAATAAATACACTCAAAGCCATGGGTCCAGAGTGTATGTGGAGGAGAACCTTGAACAAGCCACAGCTTTTCAGCCTCTCCCTACAAGCCAACCATACAGGACAACCATGGCCACCATCGTTCTACAGCAAACAAGTCTCTTGCTTATGCTCATCTTGGCAACTGTAGCACTAGACTGTGGTCAGATAGTGCAATCACAAAGAAATGAGATTGGGAGAACCCGAAGGCTTCTGGAAGCAATGGGAGGACAGAGGAGTCCTACGGAATGCCCTGAGGATCCAGACTTTGGCTTCCCCATGGAAAAGACAGTCCTCAACTCCAATAAAGAGGATGCAAGAATGGCAATAGGGTTTTTCCTGGAGCAGATTCAGACCATATTTCAGCATAACTACACCCAAACAAATTGGAATATGACAGCCACTGATCTTTTCCAGGAGACCCTTGACCAACAGCAGATTCAATGGCAGAGGTGCTCCATTGTAAGGACTCGGGAGCAGGCAACACGTCACGGTCTCCATGTCAAACGTACATTAAAGATGTACTTCACAAAACTCCATATATTCCTAAAGGAGAAAGAATATAGTCTTTGTGCCTGGGATGCTGTGCGAGGAGAAATTTTCGAGGTCTATTCCGTTGTTCTTAGCAAACTACTGGGAAAACTTTGAATCCACATGTAGGGTAAGTGTTTTATATTCAAAATGATGTATATGAGGAAAGGATAATCCTTGAGTTGTACTTTATCTGTTTATATCAGCTTATATTTTGGCCAATTAACACTTTTTTTTACTGTTAATTAGGTTGTAAAACTGATTGGTGCCTATCTGGTGTTTTCATGTTTTTACATTAAAGCTGCATCATCATATCACTTTGAAATATGCCCTGATCGCCTCAGAAAACATTTAATTCATGCTGTGTACTTTGTTTACTGTTAAAATAAAATTAGCGTTGTTTTCGGAGCCATGCCATGTTAGGCTGATACCGTCATCAGCCACAGTGTTTTTCTTTCAGAATTAAAGCATTTCAATTTCCCCACCCCAAGCCTTTTGTGAATCCATTGGGAATTCAGGAAGCCATTGGGGATGATGGTGGTGAGGTGTCTTTAATTTCAAAAAACTGCACTGCCAATAATTTCATTCCAGCCCCCGTTTTAAAATGTTTTATTTCTGAAAAGTCACAGCAGCTGATGACACCATCAGTGTTATGCAGTGTCACCTGTGCACCATTTTGGCCACTTTAACATTGCTAGGAATCATAATCGTGTATGTGAGTTTGATATGCATATTTAGATATCGATATATATCTGTCTTAAAGACACAGAAGGGCACTTGCTCTTAATGGTAAGAATCTGCAGGAGAGAATACTGAATAAGGGTCTTCACAGTAGGGCTGACCACTGATTTCGGAAAGGTGGAGAGCCCATCTTGTTTTTATCTATCCAAGGTACTAAAATACAACCTTGGAAAAGGTTCAGCACTGTGGATAGCTCCTTGAATGTTTACACTAAAACCTAGAGCAGATTCACCACTCACATAAAATGAAACTCTCCAGTATCAACCAGATCTTCAATAATCAATTAATTAATTTTTATATTTCCCATCTTTTAAATAGCCACGAGATCATGGAGTCTAGTACAGATTTCACGAAGTATTCAGTGCTGGTTGGACCTCCACATGGCACTGTAACTGTTGAGTCTGGGTTGGATTCAACATCTAAAGCAGTAGTGGGGAGCAGGTATGCCTCCAGATATTGCTGAACTGCTGCCACCCCCCAAGTGCCATAGCCAGCAGAGTCAACTATGAGTGATTGGTATTCAAATTGGAAATTTGTTCCCTTCAAGCACTGAGATGCAAGTGAAATTCTAGTCTCAAATTACATGTTAAGGCTGATAGTGAGCAAAGCAAAGCTTTTCTCTTTCCTTCCTTATCACTTGTTCACAGAATCCTGCCTCACACTGATATCCAAATAGCCTTCACTTCACTGTGGTGCTGAATCTGCTTGTTCTGTTTTGATCTTGACCTCATGCAAATTGGCCCAGGTGAGGCACATTTGGTTTGGGATTCTGAATTTGATCCAAATCAATGCACGGCACTAGTAGAAACTACCCACAAGTGATTCTGGCAAAGACTTCCATAAGCTACAACTCCCAGATCTTTGAGCCAGCATGATCCTCAACCATCTTGACTGGAGGATTCTGGGAGTTGTAATCTGAAAGGTGGCCTTTCCAAGTCCTAAATTCCAACCAATAGAAACTGCAAAACATGATGCAGGTTGGTCCAGAAACTCTCCCACTAGCAGTGATTTCAGCCAAAACAGGTCAGCCTCAGTTACCAGAGTACCAGAAACAAGTGTTCTTAAATCTGTGGGTGGGGGAACCAGACACACAAACAAACAAAATGTGGTTTTGAATGTTTTTTTAATTTGCATTCCAGTTGGCAGTCAAAGAAGAACTTTGAGATGCATGAGAGTCATAATATCTTCCACTAGAATCTTTCAGTTGCTTCCAGCAAGAACTTAACAAAGAAGGACTTGAACTTGAAATTTGCACTCGATGACATTGTTATCTGCATGCATCCTGCTTACAGCTTTTGCACACTCAGATGCTGGCATATTGAAAGAGAGATGCAGAATTGGCTAGATGGTTCTCCTCCAGTGGACATTGAAAACAATACAGTGGAAAGCCATGGGATAATCCATGTTTTGTACAAGAGCAGCTCTGTGACAGTTTGAAAGCAAAGCTTACATGCTTCCAGGTAGACAGAAATATCTTATGCAAGCTTCCAGATCCTGAGCCAGACTGATATTGAAGATGGTGTTCACAAGCACCCTGGGACCATCATTTTGCTTGACAAATACAGAATGAGTTATCTCCAGACACAATTACCTGAAGGCCAGCAGACATACAATAATACTATGCAAGATGGACTCCATAATCTACATGCGTATATGCATGCATGCACAGGCATGTAAGAATGTACACATGCATTTGCTATGCAGAAATGCATTGACATGCTGCTTCAGCTTTTCAATCAATTACTTGCAATCAGAACTCACAGCCAATTCTAGTAGCTAAGTGTGAAAATTTATTTCAGTTGTTTATGTCATATGACTACTTGAAACTCAAATGTTATTTCTGAAGACTGTTATTATTTATTTATTTATATTATTTAAAAGACTGCATTTTTGTAAAAGATATTTATATTTTGATTAAAATATTTCTTACATATTTTTATAAAATGTGCTAGTGATGCAGCTCCTTGAGTTACTTTGCAAATATATTTTTTCTACCTGTCTAAATAAAAGTAGATGAAATGGACTCTTGATTTGATTTTTTTGGGGTGGGGGCATGCTGGG